GGGAGGCACCCAGTGCCAGCCTTTAATCTCCACAGACGTGCATGCACACCCATATGCACAGGTACACACAAACATGTACACACTTGCACCTCACACCAAAAGAAACAAGTTTCATTAAGAAACTGAGACCTGGAAGAAGATAACAAACATCCAAGACACAGACAGTGGCAGAGCCACCTCTGTTCAGTCAGATGAGAGTTGAGTGTGTTGTTGAGGAAGGGGGAATGCCACATCACTAATGGTGACTTTCGCTACACAGCAAAACCTCTGTAGGAAACAAATATCTCGTCTTCAGCATCTTTCCCTTCTAGATAAACAATGCAATTTATATCCCACCATCAAGAAACACAGCTACCTGAAAGAACATTCTTTGAGAAAGGAAAAACATTCCATAAAAATTTCTGCTGTGAACACGCAGTCCTGGAGTGGGGCAGGAGGATGCAAGTAGTAGACTTAGAGGCTGTTAGATAACTACTCTGGTAGGAAATGAAAGCCTGAGACCTCGAGTGGAAGTCACTATACAGCACTTCATAGTAAATTGAATAAACTTCCCTCTACCCAGAAGGGATTATAATTTATCCTACTTATTAGAATTATGTGGGTTACGTGGACAGTTTCAACAAGGAAAGTAGTGTTCTTAGCTTAATAGAATATTCATGTTGAATCCAAGTGGACTTTCTCAGCCCAGCTTGGATGCCAAAGACATCAAGTTGTTGTTAGTTAAAGTTAACTGTTTGGAAGTTTAGTTCTCTGCTTAGTCCAGTGTGCAGATTTGTTTGGGACAGTCCCACAGTGATCACTTCAGCTTTAGTCATAAACTAAGGGAAAGGAGAAACAGATAATGCAGTGTATTTGGGGTACTTTTGCCAAACTTTGAAAATCCCTAAGTACATATAGTAGCTGTAACAAGCTTTGTGAAGTCCTATGTGGTGGTATTGTGTTCCCCAAAATATTGTGTGCCCTAATAAACTTATCTGGGGTCAGAGAACAGAAAAGCCACTAGATACTTAGGCTAGGCAGTGGTAGCACACGCCTTTAATCCTAGCATTCCAGGGGCGGAAATCCATCAAGGATACAGCCAAGCATGGTGACTCAGGCCTTTAATCCCAGAAAGCGAGCCTTTAATCCCAGGGAGTGGTGGTAGAAAGCAGAAAGGTATATAGGGCGTGAGGGCCAGATACTAGAAGCTTTTAGCTGGTTAAGCTTCAGGCTTTCAAGCAGAGTTCAGCTGAGAGCCATTGGGATGAGGCCACAGAAACTTCCAGTCTGAGGAAACAAGACCAGCTGAGAAGTTGGCTAGGTGAGGTTAGCTGTGGCTTGTTCTGTTTCTCTGATCATCCAGTTTTCATCCCAATAACTGGCCTCAGGTTTGATTTTATTAATAAGAACTTTTAAGATTCATGTTACAGTCCTAGGTCTAGATATACCTTTATCTTGTTAGGCATTCCAGTAGTCGTGATACTCTAGAAGGTGTCTTGGCTTTGCCAGGCACAAATGTCAGCATATTCAGGGCTGTTGTAGTTCAGTGGTAGAGTGCTTGCTTGGTGTAGCTGAACGTTTTCCTGTGTCCCACCCGGTCTGTAGCCACTCAGACCCAAGTAAACACACAGGAGCTTATATTAATTGAAACTGCTCGGCCATTAGCTCAGGCTAACTACTGACTAGCTCTTGCACTTAACTCAGCCCGTTTCTGTTAATCTATATGTCACCCCGTGTTCCGTGGCTTTACCTGTGTGCCATTACATGCTGCTTCCTGGATAGCAGGCTGGTGTCTCCTGACTCAGCCTTCCTCTTCTCAGCATTCTCCTTGTCTGCTTTTTTATCCCACCTATACTTCCTGCCTGGCTCCTGACCAATCAGCGTTTATTAAACCAGTGTACAAAAGCATCACCCCACAGCTGTTTGGTGTGCATTAGAGCTTGGGTCCAACCCCAGCATTGGGGTGGGGTGAGCATTGTGTATTAGTGGTCTGGTAAAATAGTAAGTATGGTGTTTTTGGGTTTCCTAGGCAATTCGCATTTTGGTTCAGGAGCGTCTAACACAGGATGCAGTTGCTAAAGCAAATCAAACAAAAGAGGTACGTGTGTTTCTAAGATTCTAAGCCAGCTAATGGAAATTCTTTATTGCAAGCATTCAAACTTACTGTTTTCTTAAGAGAACACATTCTGGTCCAGGCATGGTGGCACACACCTTTAATCCCAGCATATGGGAGGCAGAGACAGGCAGATCTCTCTGAGTTTGAGGCCAGCCTAGTCTACAGAGTTCCAGGACAGCCAGGGCTACACAGAGAGACCCTGTCTCGGAAAACCAAAGGAAAAAAAAAAAAGATATTCATTTTGTTGGAACAGGAGAAAGGATAACTGACTTATGTGTGAATTGAATTCAGTTCTTAAGCAAATTCAGTGTATTCAGTGACTTGAGGTTCAGACAGGTGAGCAGGGAATTGCGTATCTCAGTCATCCATTCACGGTCTGCAAACTGAGGCATGTGCCCAGTGGAAAAGAGATTTGGCTTTGTGAAATGTATTAGATTGTTTTGATGCATGGTGGGAAAAGCAGGACACACTACTGTCCTGTTAAGTCTTGATCCCATCCTCACACTTGTGAGTCTTCGTAATTTATCTCATTTTGTTCAGTATGCCATGATCACCACCTCCTTGAAGAATGCTACTGGAACTTTTTGTTGTTGTTGTTTTGTTTTTCAAGACAGGGTTTCTCTGTGTAGCTTTGTGCCTCCTGTAACTTACTCTGTAAACCAGGCAGGCTTCGAACTCAGAGCTCCACCTGCCTCTGCCTCCCAAGTGTTGGGATTAAAGGCATGCCCCACCACCGCCCAGCTGCTACTGGAAGATTTTTAATTATACCGCCAATTTAGATATCACTGATAATGCCAGGTGTGGAGGTGTAAGCATTTAATCAGCCTGGACTACATAGTAAGACCCTCTCTCAAAGAAAGGAAACAAAAATGAAATCTCCCCAAAGCCACAATGCAGAGAGTGTTGTTGGGTGAGGAGTAGCAGCTGCAGTTCCAATAATGGTCCTTTCTTACTACACAGACGCTGGAGAGTGCTCTGTGCCTGCCCCCACCCCATCCCCTCTCTCTAGTCCTCCAGTGCCCTTTGTCCTCTGACCCCTGTAGCCAAGTCCAGCAGTGGTGAAGGGCTGCTGATTCCAGGACAGTACAGTGGAGGCGCTTCTGAAAGACACTCAGCTTTCTACCAAAGGGTCTTACTAGCTTAATTGTGTATGAATTGGCCACTGGAAACTGGATCAAAGATCACTTATTTCACCCACACTGTAGAACAAGCAGCAGATTGTTCTGGCTTAATAGTCATTCATTCACCAAAATGATGTCTTTGGTTTGGAGGCAATGTGAAATGATGCTGAGCCAGAACTCTCCCTCTGTTGCAAAGGAGATCTAGCTTCATCTTTAGTGATACAGTTTATCACTTCAGATTACATTCCTGACTAATATTTGAGGGCTATGTTGATTTCAGGGGTAGCTGTTCCTTGGTGGTCTGTTGGCAGGCCAGATGATACACAGAGCCATTCAGGACAAGTCTGCTCTTACTTTGTTCTGAATTCCCATTCATTATGTAAGTTATTAGCCCTGGTAAAGCAGGGCTCCTAGGTGGAGTATGTTAGATTAGGTAGAAATTTAGCAGTAACTAAATATTGCTAATGACTTGAGATACTTTTTTTTTTTTTTTTTTTTGGTTTTTCCAGGGTTTCTCTGTGTAGCTTTGCGCCTTTCCTGGATCTCACTCTTGGTAGTCCAGGCTGGCCTTGAACTCACAGAGATCCACCTGGCTCTGCCTCCCAAGTGCTGGGATTAAAGGCGTGCGCCACCACAGCCCGGCAGAGATACTTTTTTATCAGCAGGAAGCCTAGACTTATTATAAAGTTATTATTGTAGTTTGGTATCATCATCCCTGAAATATCTAGATGTAGGTGCTAATGAGTTGGATAATTAAGCCATTTGATTAAGATGATATCAAAGTGACTTCATACGGTAAAACATTAAACACATCTATCTGTTAAACAAGCTGACTGAAGACAATTGTATGTTTTAGATACATTGGTATACTTTGTAGTGTCACTTGTAATTAATTTGCAGGGCACTTGCTTAGCTCAGTCCTCCTTCCTGAGCAGCACAAAGTCTTTGTAATAAGGGCTCTTAGAGGCCAGTTTAAAAGGGTGGGTGGGCTTTCCTGGGTGCTGTAACACCCTGTTCTTCACGGGGTACCTTGCATAGTCCTTACACTGAATAACCAGGTGCTCTTTAGTTTCAAATGAGGAAAGGGACTCTTAACTAAATAGTCTTGTTTTGTCATTCTTTTAAAGGGCTTACCTGTTGCTTTAGACAAACATATTCTTGGCTTTGACACAGGAGGTAAGTTATTTTGCTTTAAGTCAAGCTATTTTGAGGGACTTGGTGTTGTTCTGAGGTATAAGCAGGTAGCTGGAAGCACAGAAACCATTCAGAGAGAGAAGGGGGGGGAGAGAGAGAGATGGATGCAGTGTTCTTGTCTTGTGACAGATGCAGTTCTTAACGAAGCTGCTCAGATCCTGCGGTTGCTGCACATAGAAGAGCTCAGAGAGCTACAGACGAAGATTAACGAAGCCATAGTAGCCGTTCAGGCCATCATTGCTGATCCAAAGACAGACCACAGACTGGGGAAGGTTGGAAGATGAGCACATCAGGATTTCAGCTTCTTGCCTGCTTAGTGTGATGGGAACAGTCTACACCGGCATGTGTTCGGGAATCAAATGTCACATTTTCAAGGGAGGAATCCCAGGAGATTGCCCGTGTTCTAGAGATTTACCACCACGGCTTTTTTTCTTTAATAAAGTTGGGGAAAGTAAAAAGAGTTTTTTGTTTTGCTTTGTTTTGAAGTAATGTATCCTGTTTCTATAATTACTGTGCATCCTCCTTTTGGGTTAGAGTCATCCCAACCCATAACTTTGTCATGGAGACAATATAGATCTTTAGACCACAAGAAAGCTGTAAAATATTTTATTGGAGTTACATAGAAAATTTAAGAACTGCTACATCTTTGGTATTTTACATGGAATACTTCTGAGGGATGCTTCTGTAGAGGCACTTAGGGGATCATTCTAGCACCTTAAATATAAATAAAGTCTGAGGACTGACTTTTGCTGGGAAGTATAAATAGGCTGGATCATCCCCATGACCAGCATCATCTTCTCTGTTACATCATCTTCTCAGTGGGCTTTAGGAATACATTTTCATAACCAGCCATGTGTTTTACTTTTCTTGATCAGGTAGACTCCATGGCAAAAACCAGATTTAGTGTCTTAAACTCTTATTTGGTTCTTTGTTGAATGAATTTGGTCTTTTAAATAAGTGTTTACAAAAAGTTGCTTCAATAAGTAATGATTAAAATTCTATTTTAAACTTCTGATAACCTTTGTTTTTAAAAATACAGTAGTAATGATTGAGGTATACACTTCACAAACTAGACTTAGTCTCGCTGCACTGGGAATGCTCATCTTGTGTGCCCAGAGCTCATGGCGGCCAATTCCTCTTTCACTGCCTTTGTAGTAAATGTTCTTAGGTCAAGATTCTTGTAAACTTGAAATCTTCCTATACATTTTATGTTCATTTTCTTCCTGTGAGGGAGGGGACAGCAGAGATATTTCATTAGTTAAACCACACGGGAAGGAAAGCAGTAGGGTTAGCACTGTGTTAACTTTGTAGTGTTAGCACAGCCCTTCTCCTGGGTATCGTGACGTGCACTGATGGACTGACCTGTTGGACAGTAGGGGTAGACTGCGGTGATCCCGTAGAGGTGAGACCGCTGCTCGGGGAGGTACTCATCCGTAAACTGGCCACTGTCTTTATTCACCGAGATAACACCGTCCCTAGTAAGAAAAGGAGAGGCGGGCAGGGACGGCCAGTCACAAGACAGTTTCAGTAGACAACAGTCTGGCAGCAGTTTTCCTTATACATTACAAAAACAACTTTAGCTAAATGAGTTTTGATTCCATTTGTCTACCACCAGTGATTCTGGACATAGCTCCTGCACTGGTATCACCTGGGAGCTTAGAGGACATGCAAAGACTGTTTTTTCCTCCCTGGCCCTCGTAAGTCAAAACCCTGGGGCACCAAGCAGAATGTATTTCATTTAACACTTTGTAGCCATAGAGCTAGTGGCTAAATCAGTTCCCAATTTTGGCTACGTCTGGGGGGCCTAAAGTATGGCACTTAGAACTCATGTGAAAATCAGGAGAAGAAAAGGGCTAAGACATGCACCTGTTTTGTTTTAAAAATCTAAGCTCAGAGCCAAACTATTTTTCAGTCTTTAAGGTAGACAGTTGATGTTATTTTTCTTATTGTTTGGTTTTTGAGACAAGGTTTCTCTGTGTAACAGTCCTGGCTGGCCTGGAACTCACTCTGGACCAGGCTGGCGTGAGACTAAGAGATCCACCTCCTCTGCCTCCCGAGTGCTAAGATTAAAAAGAAAAATTTAAACTTTATACCACTTAAAAGTACTCATTCTCTAAGAACAGGTTTAAGTAAACACTTCTTTTTAAGCGGTATAGTACCAAGTGTCTTCAACTTATATGCTGCCTGAAGCAACACCAGTCAACTTCAGGGTGAGGTGGAAAGATGACTTCAGAGATGACCCTGGACAGACAGACAGCCGAACAGGGCTTCCTAACTAGAGTCGCTGACCGGTAAAACAGCGGGCTCCCCGGAACTCGCTGTCCCTGCGGGCTGCTCCTGAGTGGGGCTCACCTCCGCCAGTCTGTATGGTAGAAGTGATCTGCGTAGCTCACGACGCTGAAGGGGTAATTGAGGTGACTCTGGATGACACGGCGTCCGGTTCCGTCGGGCAGCGTACACTCCAGTTTCTTGGTTCCTTTTAAGATATCCAAGGGGGAAAGTGAGGTGCCAGATAGAGTCCTCCAGGGGAATAGAGGCAGAATTTTAAAATGGGGCGTTTTATTCCCACAGTAGCAACTGTAAACCTTGCCGCTTGACTCTAGCTTTGAGTAGATATTCAAACTTAAATCCTTTTATGGAAGGAACAATGTAATCTGTCGAAATCTTGCAGTTTCTTCCCAAGGGGGAGCATCAAAGATTAGCATTTTTAATAATTTTAAGCCTACATTTATAAGTTGAAAATATCTACATATAAGAAAACGAGCATGGTAGTAGGTATTTTTACACTTTGAATTTTTGAGGAAAAAAAAAAGAATTCAAGAATTTTCATGTTCCAGATTTCTAAAGACGTCTAAATTCCATATACTTTTAAAAAAACATAATGTTCGGACAACTGGATTTTAAAAACACCCAGCTGCATGTTCAGTAAATTCAAGAACTATATTTAGTAGAAATGAGGTATATAATGTCTTCGAGTTTTTCTAGTAATGCACAGTAGACCACAAATAGATAACCCTGGTGTTAATGCATTCCTGAAGGAGACCAGTCTCACAGCACTTGATACAGGATCATAATACACAAAGTGGTAAAATCTTAGAGTTAAACTCTAAGAATGGCCCAGAAGGTAGACCAACCTCAGTTAATCCAAGCGTCAACTAATACTTCTTCCAACTTAGTTTTCCAACGGCTCACAGCAGGGGCAGGGGGCAGGCCAGACATGCTGCACAGTCAGGCTCCCCTCTGAACCCCCAATAACTCACTGTAAGAATCACTGCAAAATGTTCTTTTAAAGCTTACAGATCTGCTAAGTATGCTCTGTGCCGATAGAAATTTAACCCAAAAGATCTAAAAGATGGGTGAATCCCCATAGCACTCACACTGCTGTAAGGAAGATCATTGTTCTCCACGTCACCAGTATTACCTGCATCTGCCCAGCACAGCAGTTTGGAGAAGGGGTCAAAGGTTAACCCATTGGGTAACCCAATATCTTTGTTGATCAGAATTTTTCTGTTTTCTCCATCTAAAGATGATGTTTCAATCTTAGGAGCTTCTCTATTCCAGTCTGTCCAGTACAAGTTGCTGTGGATAAATGTTAAATTAAGACTGTTATGAACAGTTCTGCATGGGTTGGTATAGCTTAGCCTGGACAGGCCCCTAGACTAAATCTCCAGTACCCCACCACACACACACACAAACCCCCAAAAAGTCAGCCATGCAGCTTCGGGTACGCAGCAGCCACACTGGCCACCACTGATTGCCACCTCCTGGTATTCACAGCCTTAATCTCCTTCTCTGAGTTTGGTATCTTGCTCCGGGTGAACAGTATGGTAGAATTCAGAATATCATTTCACTATTAGTTTTTTAAAACTGGCTTTTGTCGGGTGCCTTTTCTTGCTCCACAGGGGAAGCTAGATTCTATACTGCAAGCTACCCTATGAAGAGATCCCTGTGCCCAACAGCTGGCAAAGACTGCCAGTGGCCCATGTGGGAACTTGAGAAGGACTTTCTCAGCCAAGCCTTGATCTTGGCGGCCTGGCCAGTGCCTCGGCTGCAGCTTCTTGACATTACCAACACACTTGTGCAGTCCCACCCAGATATTTTACAGTTAATAAATGTTGTCTTGGGCTGCTGAGGCCGCCTAACAACTGCAACTGTGTGGGGAGTCATTAACTGTCTAGATCCTTGCCTCTCAAGACACCTGATGGCAGTTGCCCAGGAACCCATTTTTGTTAAAATCTTGAACTGGATCTTAGGCCTACAATCCAAAGAAATGTCTTTGTTAGGGAAACTCTTGTGGTAGAAACTAAGGGAACTGTTAAAAAGAACTGAGTGGGATTCAAGGAACAGAGGAAGAGTTTCTTTAAAAAAATACCCGTGTTAAAGGGGACCCTTAGTTGTCCTACACCTGGTTACCAGGACAGAGACACTCTTGTTAAACACTATCTTGTTAAAATCTGCAAACAGAGCAGAGGTACTGAAACTTCCATGTATCTATAGAGACTTGTCAGTTGAACCCAGAGAACCACAGCAAAGGGCGAGAACTGTGAGTCTCCTCTGCTGTGACTGTCCTCCTTACGGGTGGCCCTAAAAGCCAGAGATCCAAACAGTGAGCGGCATCCCTGGAGACGACCAGCTAAGCCTCCACGAGAAGCTGTGAGGGCTTAGACGTTACAAGTATGGCACTTACCCTGGGGTCAAGGCAGCTGCTTTTGACATTCTCTAGAATCTAAATCCTGGAGTGTAATGACTGAACAAGGCACCATTGTTCAGCTCCTGCCCTTTCAGACTAAGCACCAAGGACTATCAAAAGAGGGCCTAGCAGTTATTTAGTCCTGCAGATAAGGAGCCTTCGCGTGCAGGACTTAAAAGTCCAAACCACCTTTGAGGCTTCCTTGTCTGCCTTAAAGGGCTTCTCTGTAACTGTTTGATGGAAGCTGCATCTCAAGTCCCAGGGACCCCTGCCCAGGCCTGTACCCCGCAGGGGAGAGCCTTGGTAGCTGTCGTGGAGAAGGAACATTTTTATCTGGATTTTGTACACTCCCCATCTAGGAAGAAAAGCGCTGTTGTGGCTGTAACGAGGCTTTCTCGGGGT